TATTTCTTCCTTATCCAAACAAAAAGGAAAGAAATCATAACTATTTATTTTCTTTTCTTTTCTCTTATAACTTAAGTAATCCTTTCTTTTCTTTTCTCTCCTAGGTTCCCAAACATAGTGTTAGTCAAATTTTCAAAAATAAGACAGTTCGCTCGAGCGCAACTTTGGTTGCTCGAATGGACCCCTTGGTCTGCAAAACTTCTGAGAGCTCTCATTTTATGCTCGAGCGCAACTTCCTTTGCTTGAGCTAAGGTCCAAAGCAAAGGGTAGTTGCTCAAGCGCAGGTTTTATCGCTCAAGCCAACCCCCAAACTCTGCAAAAGTACTAGGAGCTTGCATTTTTCGCTCGAGCGCAAACTCCACCGCTCGAGCGAAGGGCACAAATTTTGGATTTCTAGATTTGCTTCCCAAGTTCAAAACATAATTTCAATGCTCCAAAACTTATTCATTTGGGCCAAAACTTTGGAAAACACTTAGAAACTTATGTAAAAACATGAATTGAAGATCAATCCTCATAATCGGAGCCCAAACCCATAACAATTTTTCCAAATCCAAGCTTGAAACTTGTACTTAACACATGTATGTAATGATTTGAATTCAAAACTCCCAAAACATGGACAAATGAAGTGTTTAAATGTGAAATCATGGTGAGCTCTCCAGACTTAGCAAAAATATACACTTACATGTATGAATTCTTGGAAAGTAAACTCAAAACTTGGTGATTGATGCAGGGATGCAAAAAAAAGTTCCCCATTACTCCTTCCTTAGCTCAATTCATGCGTGTGATCTCTAATTCTCTTGAATCCACTTGCAAAGTAGTTAAATTTCAAAAAGTAAGAGTTAAATTCTTACCTAGAATCCTCAATTCCTTGAATCCTAATAATTTATTGTACAATTCTTCTAATTCTCTTCAATTCCATAGTAATTCCTTCTTTTACCCTTGTTAGATGACGGTCTCTCTCTCTCTCAAGAGTAATCTCTTTTTCTCTCTAAGATTCTCTAGGTAGTGTTGAGCTCAAAATAATGAGCTAAGCTCATGGTTAGTGCATAAATAGATTGAATTAGCTTAACTAATTAAATGTTATTAGAGCTATGTTATTTTAATAATTAATTTATTCTAATTATTTGATTCCGAATCAAGATCTAATTAAACTTACCATAAGACTCTAAAAATTCTAAATAACACATATACGTAGTCAATTTCATGTTCAGATGCTAATAAAGCCTTCAATTCGCATATTGAATTGGAAATTCAGACAGATATTCTTACAATAAACAGATATTAGCACAATTAACACAAAACACATGCAATTAATATAGAATTTCCTCTTACTTACATATTAAGCATTCTTAATTAAGGATAATAAGCTAATCACAAGTCGGGATTGTTACAACCGTTATTACTTGCGTATCCAGAATCGTCATTGTCACGAAGATCCTCATTATCTTGTCTGAGATTTGGTCAGATCTAAGCAATAGAGAGTTGATGATGAGAGGTTTCGTACAAAACCAGATCATTCCTGAAGCTCTTCGCCACCGAACCACGATGTTGATCTCCGATCTTTGACTTCAGTGTCACTATGACTTTTTAGAACAAATCGACTCATCTCTTTACAATCCCCACCTTAGCTCTCATTCCGATGTCTCCCTATTCGTATCCACCACTATTCACTACCATTATTAGTAATTCCTACTACGATCAACATCATTGCTGTTTCGTCGCTTGTTCGAGCTCGATCTGATTACTTTATATGTTGCTTATGTTTTGTGAAATAGAGATGGAGATTTTGGAGTGACGCTGATGTCATGGCCAGAGTAGAGAGATGATGGCCAATCTGAAAATGACAAGCATATAGACATTGTGATGCACTCAAAGTGTTTGAAGAAATGCCTAACCCAAACTTGAACTTTTTTTTGTGTTTTTGTGCTTTTGAACAGATAAGGGAGCTTAGATCTGAATAGACCAAAGATATTCAACAGATAATTTATTTGGTAAAATTTCAACAGACAATTAATTCTTCTCTTTTTTTTTTCTCTCATGAAATTATCATCAACTTTCAAAAGATACTAGCAGCTAGAAAACATACTACTTTTCTTGACTTCCAGATCAAGTTCTTCAGGACTTTTTTACTTTATTTTTTATTTTTTTATAGTAGTTGTTGATGTTGTTGTTGTTAATGATGATGATAATAGAACTGATTGCAATGAGATGGCTCAGATCTAAACACTAGTGGATAATAGATAATGGATTTTTTTTTTTGTTGAACAGATCTGTTTAGAATTTGAACAAATAGTGCTTTGGTTTATTTCAATAACAAAGATTTGAACAGATAACAAATTAACAAAGAGAATTTAGAGAAATATAATAAAATTTGGACAGATAAATTTAAACAGATAAGAGAAAAAATCGAACAGATAGGTGTAAAAGTTCATCAAATCTGGTGGTGAATTTTAACATATAGCAAAAATTATGTAGGTTTCTCTTTGTTTCGACAAATAAGAACAAGGAGAAACTAACAGAATTTGAACAGATAGAAAAGAAAAATGAAACAAATAGGATAAAAAATTGAATAGATAGAAAAAAAATTGAATAGATACGGAAAATTTTTGAATAGATAAAAAAAAAATTGAACAGATCGTCAATAAAAGTCAATAGATAAATTAAGAAGTAAAATTAGAAACAAAATGTCTTTCAAAACAAAAAAAAAAAGATTTTTCATCAAACTTTTGGACCTCAAACCAACAAAAAATATCTGCTGGATCTAATACATTGTACCCTTTTTGGTTTGGAGTTTTCAACAATTATCTAAAAAAAAAATTTCAAAAAACTCTTTCGGTCTTTAATAAATGTTTTAATGGGCGAATTACACTAACGGTCTCTATAATTTTGATTCCTGATTTTTCAATTGTGATACATTTGACTATGAATTTTGAATTTTATTCCAAATAAAGACAATTAAAGATACCATTACTTAATTTTAAAGGCAAAATCATCAATTTGATAAATATAAACTAATTTGACAAAAATAAATGTCAAAAAAATATTTTTGAATTTTAAAAAATTATTTTTACTCACTAAAGATAATATTATGTAACATTGATAAATCTTTTAGACATTTATTTATTTATTTTTATCAAATTAATTTGCATTATGTATTTGGATGATAATCATGTAATGAGTGGTTGTTTTTATTTTCATTAAATTAGTTTTTATTTTTTTAAAAGTTAAATATAACAACAACTCTGATATCATTATTAAACTAATTCATTAAATCAAAAAATCCAAAACCAAAAATATTTTATATATTAGATATATTGATTACCCATTAAAATCGTAACAATCATTTGTTACATGATCATCATCCAAACACATAAAATAATTAATTTGGTAAAAAAATAAATAAATGTTTAAAAGATTTATTAATTTTATATAATTTAATCTTTGGTGGATAAAAATAATTTTAAAAATATTTTTTTGACATTTATTTTTTGTAAAATTAGTTTATATTTTATTAAATTGAAGATTTTGTCCTTGAAATTAAACAATAGTATCTTCAATTATTTTTATTTGAAATAAGATTCAAAATTCAGAGTAAAATTTGTCACAATTGAAAAATGAAAGAGTAAAGTGACACGAGTCCTAAACTATGAGAACTGTTAGTGTAATTCGTCATTTTTTAATTTTTTTAATGATTTTTCTAATCAAGTAAAATTTTAAAAATATAATTTTTAAATTTTTTTAAGGGCAAATTGCATATATCCCCTCGAGGTTTAGCAAAATTACAGATACCCTTGAGGTTTGGGAAATTACAGATATCCCCTGAAGATACTATTTGCATAACAAATTAGGAGGCAAATTGTTTTGAAAATATAAACATCATGGGACAATTTGTTATAAAATATAAATCTCAGGAGATATTTGTAATTTCTGAAATCTCAAAGACATTTGTAATTTAGCTAAATTTCGAGTGAGGTATATATAATTTGTCGTTTTTTTAAATAATTGAAGGTAAAAAAAAAAGTCAACACAAAAATAAATTCCAGATCTGGATTAATTTATGATCAAATAAGATAAGTGATTTTTTTTTGGTTTAAAAAGAAAAGAAGTAATAGCATGAGAGATGTGTGGACAAAAAACAGCAAATGGGCAGCGGACCAGCCGCGTAGTACTACGAGTGAGTGAGAGAGAGAGAGAGAGAGAATAGACATCGTTATCGGCCACCGACTCCAGCCAATGGGTATTGGTATTGTGAGAAGGTGTTGGGTAGTGTTTGAAGAATAAGTGGTGTAATTAATGTATTAATATTAGTTATGATGTTATTATTAATTTTATTTATTATATAAATTAAAAATATTTTAAATTATATTATATTATTTATTATTATTAATTTTATTTATTATATAAATTAAAAATATTTTAAATTATATTATATTATTTATTATTATTAATTTTATTTATTATATAAATTAAAAATAAAAAAAAAAAAAAATGATAGGATCGATTTATTTAATCAATAAAAACAATTTAGAACACCACATGCCCTTGGGGCAAATTATATAATTTCTCGGGTATTCCGCGGCTGCAGTGAAAATACACACATCCAACGGCTCTGCTTTAAGATTACACTCCTCTTTCCCCATATACACAACACACACACACACGCTGTACATCTACTTGATTTTTTATTAAAATAATATTACACAAGACACACACACGCTGTACATCTACTTGATTTTTTATTAAAAATAATATTATATATATTAATTAATGTATTAATAGATGACATAATATAATTTTAAAAATTTATATAATAAATAAAATTAATAATAATAATGATAATATAATATTAATTGACATATGTGTATATTAATTGATAACGTACTATCACCGTTTTATTAATTTGATGAGATTTGAGATTGATTAATTAAAGGGAATAGACCCCACCCCAGTCATGATCCCAATCCAACGGCTCAGCTCTAGATTCCTCCTCACTTCTTCACCGACAACACCAGTCGATGAATCTAGGCCCGAAATTCGGACTTGACTCCTCCATTCCTCTCTCTATAAAGCCCGCTTCTCCGAAATCCCTAGAGCCCTCACCCCTCGAACCCCTCTTTCGCTCGCACCACACCACACCACACCACACCACACAGCTCTCTTTGTCTTGCTCTGCGTCACGGGGTTCTTTCTCTCTGTCTTTGTAGGTAAAGTAAATAATGGATTTTTATTAAGTTTTGGATCCAGATCTGTATCCTCCCTACTTGTACTCTTTCTTTTTTTCTTTTTTTTTTATAGTTGGAAATGCCTCTGTATTTGTTGATCTTCTTCTCTCCTCTCCTCTCTGGGGTTTGGCGTTTGCAGAAAAAAAAAAAAAAATACTGGTGCTAATCTTGCTTTTCACAATAACACCCTAAACCTACTAAACCAAAATCTGATGGGTTTTAAATGAAAATTATTTAATGTATACATTCATTCATTTATCCAAACCGAACTCACTCACTCACTCACTCTCCAAGGTTTCACGAGCTACAATTAATTATCTATATTTGTTTTGTACATTTATAAATTTTTCAGTTCAATAACCTATCTGTTTCGCTAATATTGTGCTGTGCAGCTTCAACAAAATGGAGACCTTTCTATTCACATCTGAATCAGTGAATGAGGGACACCCCGATAAGCTCTGCGACCAGATCTCTGACGCTGTTCTTGATGCCTGCTTAGCACAGGACCCTGACAGCAAAGTTGCTTGTGAGACTTGCACCAAGACCAACATGGTCATGGTCTTCGGAGAGATCACCACCAAGGCCAAAATAGACTATGAGAAAATCGTGCGTGACACTTGCCGAACAATTGGATTTGTCTCCGATGATGTTGGCTTGGATGCTGACAACTGCAATGTCCTTGTTAATATTGAGCAGCAGAGCCCTGACATTGCCCAGGGTGTCCATGGTCATCTCACCAAGAGGCCCGAGGAGATTGGTGCTGGTGATCAGGGTCACATGTTTGGTTATGCCACCGATGAAACCCCTGAATTGATGCCCCTCAGCCATGTCCTTGCAACCAAGCTCGGAGCTCGTCTAACACAAGTTCGCAAGAATGGTACCTGCCCATGGTTGCGGCCTGATGGCAAAACCCAAGTGACTGTTGAGTATTACAATGAGAAAGGTGCCACGGTTCCTATTCGTGTGCACACCCTTCTCATCTCCACCCAACACGATGAGACCGTGACAAATGATGAGATTGCTGCTGATCTTAAAGAGCATGTCATCAAGCCTGTTATCCCCGACAAGTATCTGGATGAGAAGACCATCTTCCACCTCAACCCTTCTGGTCGCTTTGTCATTGGCGGACCTCATGGCGATGCTGGTCTCACTGGCCGCAAGATCATCATCGACACTTACGGTGGGTGGGGTGCTCATGGTGGTGGTGCTTTCTCCGGAAAGGACCCCACCAAGGTGGATAGGAGTGGAGCATACATTGTCAGGCAGGCTGCGAAGAGCATCGTGGCCAATGGGCTTGCGCGGAGGTGCATTGTGCAGGTTTCTTACGCCATTGGTGTTCCTGAGCCATTGTCGGTTTTCGTGGACACGTATGGGACTGGGAAGATTCCGGACAAAGAGATTCTCAAGATTGTGAAAGAGAGCTTTGATTTTAGGCCTGGCATGATTGCCATCAACCTTGATCTGAAGAGGGGCGGCAACAGTAGGTTCTTGAAGACTGCTGCCTATGGACATTTTGGCAGGGATGATCCTGACTTCACATGGGAAGTGGTGAAGCCCCTCAAGTGGGATAAGGTGGCTCAAGCTTAAGTAAGGCTTGTCATTATTGATTACCGATGCATAATCCCCTTGTTTTTTCGTTGTCTCTGCCTACTGTTGGTCTTTTGTTGGGGTTTTCCTATTGTTTCTTATCATCTTTTAATTCTGAATTTGCTATAGAAAAAGAAAAAAAGAAGAAAAAGAATTATTATTTGGTTTAAGGGGGGGATCGGAGGTGAAAGACAAAGAAAAAAAAAAAAAAAAAAAAAAAAAAGGATGTGAATTACTGTATGAATCGCTGCTGCTGAGAGATGCTATAATAATGCCCACAAATTGTGATTGTTCACAAAGAGAAACATTTGCAAAGCATTTATTTTAATTACGAATGAGAAACTTTGCTCCCCTTCAATTATTTTTTTGTTTACTTATTTTTAATTGCTATCTTGGTGTTTTGAGTGGAAAGTTTGATTGATTGCTTTGAACAATTGAATTGAGTGACGTCTAACGATGAATGGCTTTGTGCCTTGTGTTTATGTATGATTTCAAGTTAGTTGATTTGCATTTTGTAGTGAAACATGATTTCTAGTGATGCTGATTGGCCTGAATTAAGTTACCCTCCTAACCATCAATTAGCACAAGCTGTCAATTTGGCCACAACCAAAACCTCCGGCCAGTGAAAGGGTTGGTTGTGTAATTTCAAGCTGATATGTTAAAAGCATGGGTCTTCTTTTTCGTCATAACATAAAGCGTTCGGAGCCTCTAGAGAGGAGGCTACCTGCAGTAGAACAAAAGGACGTCATTTTACGTCATTTTGCCTATAGGGGGAACCAAAAAATAGAGTAAGTCGTAGAATCTACTTGGCACTGCTTATCTTTCATTCTCTTAAATACTCTCTCCATCTCCATCAAATCCTCTGCCCTTGCACAAGCAAAGATAACAGCATTATAAAATGAGGTATTCTCGGGTATCTCCAACTTCCCAGCCAACTGAACAGTACTTATAACCTTATGAAAGATACCTCCATTGGCATATCCTTTAATAAGACAGCAGAAAGTCTTGGTGTCTGCCTTCATACCCTCTGCACGCATCTGGTCAAATGTGTATTCCATGTGTTTCACATCACCTGCCTCTGAAAATGCTTCAATCACATTGTTATAAGTTGACGTTGTCCAAGGAAATGAAAGCTTGCGCATGTATTCCATCACCGATGACATTTTGTCATACATTCGTTTCTTTCCATAAGCACCAATCAGAATATTGAAAGTGCGCGTTTCAGGCTCAATTCCAAAATTACGAAATTTCTCATACCATCTCTCCATCATTTCAATCTGAGCGATCTGATAGAGGAAAGGTTGGGCGACAAATATGGAGGCAGAAGAGTGGGGAAAAGGTTGGTTGACAGGAGGACGGTGAGTAAGGGGTTGTGGTAGGTGATTGGAGGAGGGTGGGGGAGTGACTAGCAACATTCAATAAGGGTGGGGGAGGGGGTGGCCACCACTAGCAAGGGTAGGGCTGGTGATGGAAGTATTAATTGGCGGATGTTTCCGATGGTTTCTCTCTCTCTCTCTCTCTCTCCCCGTTCTACTCTTTTTTTTATTTGTTCCACTGAAGGAACACTGTAGGGAGCCTCCACTCTAAAGGATCCAGAAGCTACTAATGCCTACACAGTTCCGTCATTGGAATCATGGATATTCATTCAGTACTAAGTTTCCCAACCAATAGTGTGAATTTTGAAGGGTATAAACTTAACAGAAGAATGTATGAATAGAAAAAAATTTGTGTGAAAATAAAATAACCTGAAACACATGCATAGTACTAGCTACAATGAAGAAATGTGCTGTGAACAACACTCAACCTGGTGGGGCAGACTTCCCACAAAAGACTTGAAAGAAAGACTTTAGCCATGGTCATATGTTCCATCTTTGGGGCAGCCGGCAGCCACAATAGTAAGTCTGAAGACTCTCAACCAAAAACAGATCACAAAGTGGAAAAACAAAAAAATCTCCAAGTGATCCCTCATCCCACCAATGAACTATTTTGATGTTCAGACTAACTACCACGTAATGCTGTTCCCTGACCATATCTTCTGAAATATGCAATCATTTTGATTGCAGAGAGATTTGGCCAGTGGGCACACGCCATGTATAATCTTCGTAGACACGTCATATCTCTTATTAAAGCTCCCAGGTTAAACTCATCACAAAATGCAGACTCATTTCTGATCCGGTGTGTAATGGTGACTATCTACAAAGACGCGCGACTTATTTCTGCCATCCAACATAAAATCATGAAGAAATTCCATAGTATGAAACAACAAAAAAACATCCTCTGCAATCAGACCATCACATTCTTCATCAACAATGTTCAAATTTTAAAGGCTTCTATAAACAGAAATCTTGCTCATAAATTTGACCAGCCAACTACTACAATGTTTACAATGTATCTCTTTCTTTTAGTCGAACACCAAGAAATTGGGACAAATTGTTAAAGTTGAGCTTAACTAGGCGACTGTTAGAATGTTGATAGAAGCAAATAATTAGAGCTGCAAGCCAAGGGGGCATTTAGAAAAGAAATATAAGCAACAGCACAAATGCAATCAAAATATCTGATGTCATGATTCCTTCATGTGACACTTCACGGAAGAAACCATCTTTCCAAAACTGTACTGAGCCACTTTACGGAAAAACAACCATCTTTCTATTCAACATTACAAAAGATCTTAAATTTGGAAGAATCCAACCACTATCTATTTCATAACAAGAATGCTTTACATACACTAGAGATGCTCCAGTTGTTTGTGTCTCAAAGTCCAAAGGAGGTTCCCACCACCATACTTTAGAAAAGACACCGAGGCAGAGTGGCAGTTAACGCAGTTGTCTATCCCTGAATGTGATCAGGATTTCTATTGATAAAGCTTTGCGTAGCATTTGCAGTGGTAGTTTAGCTACACCTAGTCTCTTAGCATTCAATTAGACATTAACTGAAGTCTCCACTTCAATGTTCTCATCGTCTTTGGGAGCAATAACAACCATCATCTCTTTTTCTTGCTCCAAATCATAAACCTTGTCATTCATTCCTTCCTTTCTATATGCATCCACCATGATAGAGTAAGTCGTAGAATCTACTTGGCACTGCTTATCTTTCATTCTCTTAAATACTCTCTCCATCTCCATCAAATCCTCTGCCCTTGCACAAGCAAAGATAACAGCATTATAAAATGAGGTATTCTCGGGTATCTCCAACTTCCCAGCCAACTGAACAGTACTTATAACCTTATGAAAGATACCTCCATTGGCATATCCTTTAATAAGACAGCAGAAAGTCTTGGTGTCTGCCTTCATACCCTCTGCACGCATCTGGTCAAATGTGTATTCCATGTGTTTCACATCACCTGCCTCTGAAAATGCTTCAATCACATTGTTATAAGTTGACGTTGTCCAAGGAAATGAAAGCTTGCGCATGTATTCCATCACCGATGACATTTTGTCATACATTCGTTTCTTTCCATAAGCACCAATCAGAATATTGAAAGTGCGCGTTTCAGGCTCAATTCCAAAATTACGAAATTTCTCATACCATCTCTCCATCATTTCAATCTGACCCTTGTTACCAAACAAGCTAAGAATAGTGTTCATTGTCCACACATCAGGCTTGGATGTGGTGCTCTCAAGCATCCCTGAAAGCACTTTCTCCATTTGGTCAAATTTCCCAGCCTTTCCATAGCCGCTTAAGACTATGTTTTGAGTGACAGTGTTTGGAGTTATTAACCGCTCAGCCATTTGTTCATACAGGGACTCAACCAGTTCAAATCGAGAAGCATCAACACAAGCCTTAAGCAGGATACTGTACGTATAAACATCAGGCTGACAAAGAGGCAGCGTCTTCATTTGATCAAGAATTGAAAATGCCTTGTTAATGAGATTGCTTCGACAATAAGCAGCAAGCAAGGCGGTGTACAGCTCTGAAGTGGGTTCCAACCCTTCTTCAAGCATTGTGTCAAACAGTTGATGGGCATGCTTGGGTTGGCCCGATTTTCCAAGCAGAACAAGGAGCTTCATGTAGGTTCCTTCTTTTGGTTGATAAAAGGGCTGTTCCTTGAGCATCTCAAACACCTGTAGATTTGAACAGGCCACCGTCATTGAACTCATTTGGGCAGCTCTACAAAGTTGCTTTTTAAAGCATTTGGTTACTAGCTTATTTGTGAAGTTATTTTAAACAGATCCGATATAATGAAGGGAAGGGAAGGGAAGGGGCCATCATCATTAATTTCAGATGCATATAAAAAACCAAATCAGAAATACAAGGTAATTTTTCAATGAGTGGCATGACACAATACTTAACCCACATTAACAGAAAAAAGGTTTATAGGAGTAATTGTTTTTTTAGCTAGCCATAAAAAAAAAAACCAAACTTTTAGCTATGAAATTCAAAACAATTATATTGCAAAGATGAGGCATGGAGGTAAAAGTTACCTCAAGGGCTTGGAGCCATTGTTTTCTGAGGATGAAATCGGACAAGGCTTCAGTGACGGTGTTGGCCCAGGCTTTGGCGTTGTTCTTGCGATCCATCTTTTTCTTGAGGTTCTTAATGGGGTGGTGGTTCCTCTTGGTGGATCTTCCATTTCCATTTCCATATCCATATCCAGTGCCTCTGGTGGGGATTGAGGGTTCTGAAATTATTCCAGGGTATTCGCCTTCTTTCCAGTGCCTCTTCTTTTCTACTGAATTCCTCGAAGAAGAAGAAGAAGAAGAAGAAGAAGAAGAAGAGGTTGATGTTGATGCCAATGATGCTGCGCAGAGAAAGAGAACCCTAGAATTGGTGGTGGGTAGGTGGTGGTCTCCAACATGTTTCTTGGATTTGAGGTGGAGGTGGAGGTGGTGGTCTTGGTGGTGGTTAATAGGAGAGGGCAAGAGAGATGAAGAAAATGATATAAAAAACCAAGACGACGACATCCCCGGCGGCTTTCTACTACTACTTTCTATTGTGTGTTGTGTTGTGCGACTGTCTCTCCGCGTGTGTATCAGCATGAAATGAACCAATCCGTTTGGAGACTGGACCAAAAACCAACACATTTTTATATTGTTTTTATTTTTATGGGAAAGACAATTTTTTTATATTTCGAAAATAAAAATTATAATAAAAGTGATTCCTAAATGATGCAAATATTTTTAAATTTAATTTAAAAAAAATAGTTTGTCAAATACTAGTAATTAAGTTTTCTTTTCCCTATTTTTTAAAACATAAAATAAAAAAAAAAAACAGAAAACAATAACTCACATGCATTAATCACTAATAACATTAAAAAAAAAAAAAAAACTTCAAAATTAGTTTGGTCAAAAAAAGAAGAAAAAACAAAATAAAAGAAGAAACACTCAATATTTTTATACCATGTTCAAAAAATCAAAAAACAAGTTTTGAAATCTCAACAAAAAAAAAAAAAGAAAGTCGTTTCTCTTCTTAAACTGACTGTCTGGACAGATAATTGAGGAGATGAGTTACTGGTTTTAGCCTTAAATCGTCCAATCCAAATACAACCTAATTGTGACAGAAAAAGAAACTTATAAGGAACTCATTAATCTTCTGAGATAAATCCCAACAACATAGAACATAGTAACACATACCCTTATTGAGCTATATATGTATATACTAACAAGTATAGATACTTTTAAAATGGTGACGTATCCATGTTAGACACTCTCCTAATACGTGTCTGACACTCATCCAAACGTATCCTAATTTTTTTTATAAAGAATGTACGACTTGGATACTCTTCGGCCATTTAGAGGACACGCGTGTCCATTAACTAGACATATAAAACTAATTACAAGTTTGAACAAAATAACTTAAATAAGATGATAAAAGAAAAATAATGTCAATTTATAGAAGTTAGTGTTATATTGTATTGATTTATTATCTTAAAATGACATGTTCATATATATGACATATAATAAATTTATAAAATTATATATTCAATGCAAGTCTCCAACGTGTCATGTCTTGCATTTTTTTTAAAATTGCCGTGTCTGCGTATTCGTGTCGTGTCAGATGTCTCTGTGTCCATGCTTCTTGGTGTGTATATATATCTATTCTATTATTAAAAGGGAACATGAACTTTGGTGTCATGAAGCCATTCCTAAAAAACTTTTCTCAATTTTTCCTAAAATGACCTTAACTTCTTACATTTACATCAATTTTAATTAGGGTTAAAATGGTAAATTAAAACACTAATTCCACCTCCCACTTCCCACTCCCCACGTCTAAAGCAGTTACAACATCTTCCTTCAATTGCATTTTGCATCTTCCTTGGTAAGTTCTCTTTTGTATTTGGTTGTATGTGGAGATTTCCCAGTATTATCTACTCTCACCACCCGTCTTCCACCAAAACAATTTCAGTTGCACATATTATGTTATGTGTATTCTTGACAATTTCAAATAGTAACATATATGGAAGGAGCTTGCTCACTGGGATGACTTTCCAATAGCCCAATTAGCCTAAGAATCGGCCCTATCTTCCTCAGCATCTTCTGTGAATATCATGATCTCTGCAGTGTTCCTCTGCCTCGCTTCCTCTCCCCAACACCAGCACACCTCCACCACCATCGTCGTCGCAACAACAACAACAACCACCCACATTATCAACCTCTCCAAAACAGAATGATGTAGTTTTGTTTTGGATGGTGTACATAGGAACGGTTTCTTGCAGTTACAGTGTGCATGTGATCTTTCCTTTTTTATTTGGTAAGCATTTCTATATCCAAAAACTATGCTCTTTTTTTGTTTCTCTAAAAAATAACAAATTTAATGATGAGCTTATCTGAGAAGTTTGACCCAAAATTATCCAAACCCGATAGCATAATGGTTTTGTTTGCATCACAATTAAAGATACAAATCCTTCCCCGCACCCTCTCTGTTTTTCCTTTCCCACTGAATTTCTAAATTGCCGGTTGATATGTATATCAAAATGAGGAATTTTCAGTTGTATAGCGATCTCGATTTTCCCTTTCTGTATCTGTTGTATTCCGGACTTCGGTTCCGTGGAGCTGGTAGTTGTATCTACCTTGTTGTCGTCCTTTGATTCGATTTGTTTGAGTTATAGGTTGTGTTGGGCTTGGTTGTTTCAGGTTGGTAGAGCTTTGGCTCCCATTGTTGTTGCCCAGTTTTTGTATGGTCCGCTCGAACAGGTCATTCTGCGCTCAAGCGTGGTTTACACCCTTCCAGTATTTCGTGTCCCTGCAAAACTTCTATAGGTGTGTTTTCTACGCTCGAGCGGGTTTACTGCGCTCGAGCGGGATTGTTGGAGCTCGAGCGGGTAGTTCTTTTTTTGAAAAGTTCTAGGAGATGAAAATCTACGCTCGAGCGGACTGGTTTTCGCACTCGAGCGGATGTAGTTTATTCTTGTGTCTTGGCGCTCGAGCGGGCCTTCTTGCGCTCGAGCGGACCTAGTTTTTGTTCTTGACGCTCGAGCGTTATGTTTTCCGCTCGAGCGGGAATGTCGTATAACAGAGGGCAGCTGAGCATTTTTGAACCATTTTCTACACTTCCACTCTCTCTCTTACTTTTCCAATACGCCATTTGAGAGCTTCTCTCTCTAGAACCTTGCCTTCTCTCTAGGGTTTGATCTAGCTAGGGTGTTCTCCCTTCCTTTGGCCTTTACAAAAAGGTTGTTGATCGTCGAGGGCTATCTTTTGATCCAAGAATCTCGGGATTTGGAGCATTTTCTTTTCCTTCATCTTCTTCGTTGGGTTCCATCATTTGAGGTAGAGATTCTTACTTACTACTATGGGTTTTAACCTAGATTTTTGGGTATTTTGTTAAATGGTTGATTTTGGAAAGTTAGGGTTTGAAAATGTTAAAAAGGGCTTTTGTTATTTTGATTCTAAAATGTGTATTTTGGGTTTCAAAATAACGAAATCGTTGTTGGTTGTTGATATATAGACCATTGGGTCAATATTGGGAAATGGGGTAGAAAACCCTAATCTGTTGTATAAATTAATTGGTATAATTAATTTGGAAAAATTGTGGCTATATGGAATTGAGTTGGAAATAATGAAATATGGCTCATTATATAGTAGAATTGGTAGAGTTGGAATTTATTTAATCGTTCACTTTTGAAAACATTGATATTTTATCTGTCTGGAAAGCTTTTATTATCCGTTTAGAAATAATTAGCTTGGGCTACCGGTGGAGGGGTGTTTTGATTGTTGTAGACAATGCATGATGATAAGGGCAAACTAAAACTAACAATTGGATAATGTCATTAGAGTATGACGGTTAATAGAATACATTAATGTATGTAATTGATTGATTGTGGATATGGACCTAAGTGTATTATACTGTTGTGGTGTGTGGGAGAGATAGATGATGTAACTCCACGGTTTAGGGGAAGATGAGGGGATGCGACCCTCTTAAACCGGGTGTTGTTTTGGGAGAGATAGGGGATAGACTCTGCTGATACAGCTCATATGCTTGTCAAGTTAATGTGTTTGAATAGCTCATATTGCTTATTCTATGGTAAGTGTTGATATAGCCTCATTGTTTATCTTGTTTGAAATGTTTGCATACAGCTTTGTATGTCTTATCTTTGAGATGTTGATGTAACTTATCATGTTATCGGACTGAAATGTTGTCTATAGCTTGGTATTGTTTATCTAATGTGAAAATGGGAGAGTTTTATTGAGCCTCCTATTCTCATGTAACATGTTGGCCAGGCTTCTGTGAGCCGTTTGATGCAAATTGTGAAATTGATAAGAAATGGAAAATGAAATGAAACATGGACATAGTGGTCACGTAATGGAAATGGGTTATGAATTGATTTATGGAAATAAAACATTTATTAATTGCTAATGTCTTAGTTACTGCTCATACTGTGTTTAGCATATCTCTACTGGGCGTTGGCTCACCCTATATGGGACATTATTCTCAGGTACAGGCAGCATGCCACCTCCAAAGACATAGCTTGGATGATGATGAGAGTTGAAGACTCTTTTTGTTTATTTTGTTTGTATTACATATATATCAAGCCAAGGGCTTATTTTGTATAGAGAGAGTTAGTACTCTTCTTTTGTGTAACCAAGTGTTGACTTGGAAAGCTATAAGCCCATAGGGCATTTGCTTTTGTTGTTAACATGTAATACTGTTGTAAGAACTACTCTGATGAATAGAAATGGTTAGTTTCTTTTATATCAATGCATGTCTAAAGTGATGGGTTTTATGTATTATTTTGAGGGCGTTACAACTTGGTATCAGAGCTACCGGGTTCGAATACTTTGGGTACGTGGGAAGTGATTAGTATCACAATGGGTTAGTCTCGCTTGATAGAGACTTAGATGTAATGTTATGTGCTTATATGATAACATGTTTATGTGACTATGTGGGTATGGAATGTAGTTTCTAGAGTGTTGATTGGATCCTTGGGTTTCTGGGAGTCTTGTTGGAAAAGCATTTGATCAATACTGTTTCTAACTGGAACTCTATTAACGCCTTGGGACTATCATTATCCAAGAATGAAATTCGTAATTGCTTATGTGATTATGTGCTTACATGGAGTGAATTACAGTTGTCTATGCATTAGGACCTGAGTGTTATAGCTTCGGTACATTTGTGAATGTGCTAATAGTCTTGGTTACCTTTATTAGGATGTCAGAACGAGGACGTGGTAGGCGTGGCAAGCGTGGTAGGTAGGAGATGCCTTTATCAGATGATATTCCGGCACAGTAGGAGGGCATTGGTCAGGCCAATGTGGCCGAGTCAGCGG